CTTTGACTATGGATGTTTTTCAGGTTTTTCTCTTTGTTAGTGAACACATAGCATGGCACTGTGCAGCTCAACTTAATGCTAAAACACAGAGGAAACGTGGAAAATCTGAAAATGTTTTCCTTTTTTCGTAGACTTTTGTAGCGTCATGAATGGCCTCTAATTTGTGACAAAGGTCACATTTTCCCAGCTGGGTCAAGCTGGGTCAAACTGTAACTTTGCCCCACAGATTAACCCGCCAGGAGCCAGAATGTCTGCTGAACAACATATTTATCTGCTGCTGTTCTGTCCCAAGATGAAGGATACTTCAAGATTTCACAATAATAATTTTTAAATAATAATTTTCATAAACTCTTTGACTTTATTACTGTTTATTACAATCATCATACATCTTGGTTCAGTATAAATGTATTTTAATTACTGAAATGACTTATTGTGCTTTGTGTAATAATAATAATAATCAAGATAATCAGTAATGTGTGTTCAGTAAACCAGAAGGTCATCTTGCACTTTAACCACCTCATGCAGAGGGTGAATCCAGGGTTAAGTTTAAACCACCTCACATGTTCTTTACTTCATGACAACAAGCTTTCTGACGCTGAGAGGGCATGTTCTGAGGGTGTTGTTAAAACCAAATCTCCCGCAGCTGAAAGCCAGTTCTTGAACCATACCAGGGGACGAGGGACGGCCGCCCAAATCTCTACTAAGCATTCTGTCACGCCGATAGTCTTGCTTCGAATAAACACAACTGTAACCAGCTGACGCAAAACTCCTTCAGAGTTATTGATTTTGAGACGCAACTAGTTTCATCAGTCGTGTGACCCATGGAGACATCTCAGGACCTATTTGGTCGCACTAAGGTCCTTCTACCAACCTCGTGCCCGGAGGACATCATCTCCACCTGACATCTCGGATCCAGAAGAGGGTCTCCTATACTGGGTGAGGTAGACATTTTCGACAGATGGCGTCTGTATGCTGTTCTCTCTAAGAAATGACTCAGTTTGCTGCAAAACCAACTTTTCACCCAGAACGCACTTCTCTCTCTGAAAGAAACCTTCTGAGATTCATTCACGCATCCAAAACCTTGCATTTCATTTTAGTTTCCATTCAGTCACAAGTTTGCTTTTTAAAACAAGTTTTAATATCAAATTGTCTGTAAAAATGATCCTTTCTAAATTGTCACTTCAAATTGTCATTTTTAAAAGTGTTAGTAATAAATTCTTAACTTTTTAAAACTGACTCTTCTTTGAAATGAAACACAGAATGGTGTATATTTTTGGTTATTGAATAAGCAAAGATTCCTTTAAACTTCTGATTCAATAAATAATATTTTGCTATTGAATTTCATTATCTTAAATTAAACATTGATCTTTGGATTAAATATAGACCAAGCTCGTTGGCATATGAACTTCTATCGAATATATAATATCCTAGATATTTATATATGAAGCTGTTTTGGGTCAAAGCTAAGAGGAGCTACTTCAGCGGGGCTGAAGGGCCACATGTAGCTCTGGAGGTGTGGGCCACAGAACCCTGGTCATGTTAAAATTAGGGGTGGAAATTGAGCCCAAGTGTCCCTCAATTGGGGGCCGAAAAAGTTTAGCAACACAATTTATTCTCTAAAAATCATCAAGCTGCACCTCTAACCCTGTATGACCGGTGTCAGAGCTTGATCCGCGTTGCAGTAAGTTGGGCTCGTTTCCGGGGAGAGTTGGACCCTGCCAAGGGTGCCCTGTGTCGCAGATTCTGTTCATAACTTTTATGGACAGGATTTCTAGGGGCAGTCAAGGTGTTGAGGGGATCAGTTTTGGTGGCCTAAGGATCGGGTATCTGCTTATTTGCAGATGATGGGGCCCTTTTGGCTTCATCAAAGAGAGATCTCCAGCTTTTGCTGGAGTGGTTTGCAGGTGAGTATGAAGTGGCTGAGATGTGAATCAGCTCCTCTAAATCCGAGACCATGGTCCTGAATGGGAAAAAAGTGGAAGGTATTCTCCAGGTCAGGTATGAGGCCCTGCCTGAAGTTGAGTAGTTCAAGTATCTCGTGGTCTTCTGCATGAGTGAGGGAAAAATGGATTGGTGCTGCGTCTACAGTACCGCAGGCATGGCACCGATCTGTCGTGGAGAAGAGAGCTGAGCCAGAAAGCAAAGCTTTTGATTTACCGGTTGTTCTACGTTCCTACCCTCACCTATGGTCACGAGCTTTGGGTAGTGACCGAAAGAACGAAATCGCAGATACAAGTGGCTGAAATTAGTTTTCTCTGAAGGGTGGCTGGGCTCTTCCTTAGAGATAGGGTGAGAAGCTTGGTCATCCGGGTGGGGCTAGGAGTATATCTGCTGTTCCTCCATGTTGAGAGGAGCCAGTTGAGGTGGCTCCGGCATATGTTACGATGCCTCCTGGAGGCCTCCCTGGCGAGGTTTTCCGGGCACGTCCAACCAGGAGGAGACCTAAAGGAAGACCCAGGACACGCTGGAGGGATTGTGTCTCTCTGCTGGCCAAGGAACGCCTTGGGATTCCCCCGGAGGAGCTGACCCAAGTAGCTGGGGAGATGGGAAGTCTGGGCCTCCCTGCTTAGGCTACTACCCCTGCAACCCAACCCCGGATAAGTGGCTGAAAATGGATGGATGGATGGATGGATGGATGCTGCACCTCTAAAGAGACTGCGGTGCCTACAAGATCTCATAAGCCTTTTTTATGTGCTCCAAACACAACTAATAAAACTATCAATAATGAGAAATTGCTGTTCATAAAGAAAAGGAAAAAATATATAAACTTTTTTACTGTTATGTTTTGTAGTTGGTAGAAAGTAGGTAGGCAGTAACTTTATTCGTATGAACATCCTTACAGCAGGAGGGACAGGCATTCACGCATCATTCATCTTGGAACCTTCAGCAGAACTTCCCCTGAACTCTACACTACACCTCTATATATATATATTAGCAGTGCTCTGCTGCCACCTAGTATTCAGTTCCGTACACAACATTTATAATGTTTCATGTCTATTTACACTTTATCAATAACACATTTATTAATATTTACACATCCCAAGAAATCTCACAGCAGTAACTTTTATAATGAGACCAGAGTAATCAAATAGACCTTGTGGCTACAGATATATACTCATTAAAGTGTGGCTATGTCATCGGTGTTCCACTAACATTATTTTTTAATAAAAAAACAATTCATCTTGAACAATTAAAATGTAATTGTTCAATGTTAAATCATTAAAGCGTCAGATTAATTACATATTTTTTCATTAAGTCTCACCACTAGGTAAAATAAAACACACTAGTTTTATCCAGTTGTGGAAGTAGTACTTGATATTTTTTATTTAAGTAAAGTGCAGATAAAGAGTTCAAAAATACCTAAGTAAAAGTGGAAGTATCTAAGAAATATTTTACTTGAGTAAAGTCTTAAAGTATGAATTTATGTACTTAAAAGTAATAAACTAACATTTAAATATGTGCTGTATGTGTAGACGTCTGCTGTCGGACCTCTGCATGGACAAGGGAGTGTGCTAGTCTCCATTGGACCAAGGGTGTGGTGGGGGTGGGACAAATTAAAGTACTTTTATTTATGAAACTTTAGAGAGTGCAAATGAGTAAATGTAAAAAGTAGAACTACAAAAAACTACTTAAGTAAAGTACAGAAAAATGTATCTAAGTACATTAAGAAAGTACTTGTACTTTGTTACATTCCATCGCTGTTTTGTATCATTGAAGGTGAAGTTTCTTAATCATCCAGGGCCTGATTATCCGAGTGAGATAAAAAGGTGGCAGCTGGACACGTTTCACTTCTCCTCTGAGGTGCACTCTCAAATCTCTCAAAGGCTTCTCAAATGAGAAATAAAAACATCCTCAAAAGTCAAAAAGAAACTCAACTACCTTTTTCTGAGCTTATTAGAATTACTTTGAGGCATTTATATCATCAATACTGATATTAAAAAAACAACCCAGCTTCCTAACTAGGTATAACATGCATGGAAACAAAATAGGTGCTGAAACGCGGATCTAAGGAGGTCATTATGGCTTATATAAAGTTACTCATGTGCCAAAGCAGTAGCTGTTATTGAGGACCTTGCCAAAATAAATCCTTAACTGACTCCAAGCACACTGCTGGGGTGCGATCTCACAATATGCAGGCCAATCTGCCGTCCCTTATGATGAACAATTTACTCTTCAAATGCTGCACTAAGTCATGATCTGCAACAATAAAGGGGCATACTGCATTAGAGCGACGTTTGGAAGGCTTCAAACAGGAAAAGCAGATGTTATCTACCACCACTCAGTAGTCCCAAGTGTGTAAGCTTGCAGGTTAGTGGTGTGTCAAACTGATGCTGTTAAATAATGAGATGCAAAAATGTTCTTACCCTGCTCCACAGCAGCGCAATCAGCCTACAATGACAACAACAGTGAATTACATGATTGGGAATGTGCAGGAAGTCTTGTGAAATGCACCAAAGCATGAAGCAGACCATAAACCCAAACACACATGCAGGCAGCAGAGGATGAATCCAAGGACCCATCGTTAAAGGCCTAGGTCTGATGAATCCATTAAGCAATAAACCAGCTTCCAACAACTCTTCAGCATATTGATGCAGCTCATACTGAGCACAGCGTAACAGCACAGCAGGTGTTCTGACAGAATCTGGTAGTAGCCAAGCAAAGAGTCAGAAAACTGTCAGAAATGATTACAAATGAGAAGCTACTGTCTGTAGCATCTCAAAAAACATGACTCAGACTGCCCCCTAGTGGATGAAACCAGAACTAGTTTTAGTTCAGCAACAGACAATCGCATGTGGTCATGTTTCTCTTCATTAGTAAAATGTGTGTTTAGATCTGAGTGATGATATATATTTCAAAATATCTTCATTCATCATGACAGGAAGAACAAAGGTCACGGGTAACGTTGCCTTCTTTAGTGTTCCTGACAACCAAATAACAGTGGATGCCTTTATAATTGGAATGCAGCCCTTTACATAAACAAGGTGAAAGTCCAGCCTCACCTTTGGCCGTTCATCCAGGATCTGCTGCTGGATGTCCTTGTGCTTCTCTGTTAGCCTCTCCTGCCTTTTACTCTGTGCATCCTCCAGCTACACATGAACACACAGCAACAGGTCAGCGTGTTTGCACAAAAACTGGAGAAAGGAATACAAGTTTTACTCTGAACTGACTCTATCACTACTTACCCGTTTGATGTACTGCACCACCTCATTGACAAAGGATTTGTTGATCTCTAACTTTTCCCTGCAGAGGGACCAAGCACAGTTGAGCAACAGCTTTACTCTATAGCGACATCTGGTGGCCGCTTCCACGCACTGTTCAAAACACTCACTCCTCTGTCAAATTCTTGTCTTTGGATTTGGCGTCATTGATCTTCTCTTGTCTCTTCTTGTCCATCTTCTTCTTCAGGTCCTTTTTTTCTCTGAGTGATGAGACGAGGAAGGGGTTCAAGTGATTTTAGGATTTCTCTAAATATGCATGAAAGAATTAAAAATAAAAACTTACTTTTCACAGATGTCTCTGATTTTTTTGAGCTGGGCACTCTGACACTCCTCTGCTATAGTTGTTAACTTCTCAACCAGCTGAGGAATGATACGACAATCAGAAAAGATAACGTTTGATTAGAATTCACTAAACTTAAGCTGCATGGTTTCATTTCTGGTTATAATTTAACATTCAGACCATGACAACAGAACATCCGCAGCTGTACTTGTTGGATAAACCTCTCTGATACTAGGGATGAGCGAGTACACCACTATCTGTATCTGTTGAAGCATCTAAATTATCTGTATCTGTACTCGGAGTGGGCGTGGCCTGACCCAGAAGTGGGTGTGGTTTACATCAATACGTTATTTTACGTCTGATCAGAAGTTGCTATGTGTATTGTTTATTTGAAAACTATTTACAGAGCAGCCTCCAAGTTGAGATTAAATGTTTTTGACCACAATAGTAAAGGAACTATTACAGAACAAGTTTTTCAATAAAATCAGATCATTAATATTTAGGTGCATGAATTAAGAGAGAGAGAGAAGAAAAGATCTTTTCTATAGCGCCTCTCAAGATAAAAATCACGGGGCACTTCACAAAAACAAAACATGTAAAATAGAAACAAGAATTTAGAAAATTATTAAACCATATTTAAAATGAGCAAAAAATAGACAATTGTGATTAAAAATGTAAAGCAAGAGAGAAAGAGGGAGTGGATCCTGAAGAAGAGAGAGAGAGAGAGAGAGAGATAGATAGAGAGATAGAGAGAGAGAGAGAGAGAGAGAGAGAGAGAGAGAGAGAGAGAGAGAAAGAGAGAGAGAGAGAGAAAAAAACCCGACCGGAGCGGAGGCAGTGACTGACGCAGCACGAGCTGTTTTCAGCTCTGTCTTGTCAAATGCACCACGTACGTTACGAAAAAAGTAACTTTAAATAACTTTAAAGTAACTTTAAAAAGAAGCAAACTGAAGAAAACATAGGGAGTACTGAAGAAACGTGAACAGTGAAGCAAGCACAGAGAGATCCGTTACTGTCTGTGTGTGTGCGTGGGTGGACCGGACGCGGACTGAGCTGTGAGCTCCCGGCCGCAGAGTTTTGTGTGTAGGGAGGGGCGGGCGCTCTATTTGGCAGGCCAATCACAGAGTGTGAAGTCAGTCAGTTACCCAATGAGGATTTTCCTTCAGCACGATTACAGATATTTACGAGTTTTACTCGTTCCATGCTCGTACTCGTCAAAAATGCTTTATCCGTACCGGATACTTGTCTGAAACGAGTAACCGGCTCATCCCTATCTGATACCTCAGCTGAGTTCACTGAAGCAGAACACACTCGTGTTTTTTCCATATCAGTTATTAGAACATGAACACACGAGGCAGCAGAATGCCGTCTGTGATATTCTTTAGGGGATAGGCTGGAGGTCGTTGCAGCACATGTTCATTTGGTTGTGCTGCATTTATGAAAGCTTCAGGATTCCAGGTGACAGTCAGCACAGCACTCTCCATCCTAAACAACAGCTGCAGTGCATGTGTGTGTGTGTGTGTGTGTGTGTGTGTGTGTGTGTGTGTGTGTGTGTGTGTGTGTGTGGCATCTGTTTACTTCAAGACAAATAGCTGCATGTTCTAGTGTACTCAAACGTTTCTCGACCGGAAAAGGGTGGTTTGCCAATTCCGGGTCGGGAGAGAGGTCCTACCTCAAGTGGAGGAGTTTAAGTATCTCAGGGTCTTGTTCACGAGTGAGGGTAGTAGGGATCGGGAGATCAACAGGCGGATTGGTTCGGCGTCTGCAGTGATGCGAATGCTGAGCCGATCTGTCGTGGTGAAGAGGGAGCTGAGCCAGAAAGCCAGGCTCTCGATTTACCGGTCGATCTACGTCCCAATCCTCACCTATGGTCATGAGCTTTGGGTAATGACCGAAAGAACGAGATCGCGGATACAAGCGGCCAAAATGAGTTTCCTCCGTAGGGTGGCCGGGCTCAGCCTTAGAGATAGGGTGAGGAGCTCGGACATTCGGGAGGGACTTTGAGTAGAACCACTGCTCCTCCGGATGGAAAGCAGTCAGTTGAGGTGGTTTGGGCATCTGGTCAGGATGCCTCCTGGATGCCTCCCCGGGGAGGTGTTTCGGGCATGTCCTGCCAGCAGGAGGCCCCCGGGTCGACCCAGGACACGTTGGAGAGGTTACATCTCCAATCTGGTCCGGGAACGCCTTGGGGTCCTGCCGGAGGAGCTGGTGGAGGTGGCCGGGGAGAGGACGTCTGGAGCTCCCTAGTTGGTATGCTGCCCCCGCGACCCGGACCCGGATAAGCGGAGGAAGACGACGACGACAACGTTCTAGTGTGTATTGTATGTAAACACTGAAACTGGTATTGTAAATGCATGAGCTGCATGTACACAAATGACTCATAATAGTTTCATATAATCGTTACTATGTGGTTCTAGAACAATTGAATGAGGGCTAAAACGTTCATTTATCTGCTCATTTATTTATTCTTCTGCCACCTGGAGAGTATAGGCGCTTCTCTTTTCTCCCGTCTTATCTTTTCCCAAGGCTGTCTGCCTGCAGAGAGCTTCTCTGCATTCCTCCTGAAAACTCCATTTTTATTAAATTTTGGATTTGGTCAACTGGTCATTCAATGCGATTGACAAGATTTTTTCTACAACGAGAATGGAGCGAGGGCCTCCTACCTGTCCAGATGGACAAGATGGAGTGGGAGGATTTCTGGTATTTTGGAAAATTGGGAAGTCTGGGGCGATTGGAGTGCCACCCGTACCCACGGAAAGTTTCAGGCATGTGGAGAATGTTCACACTGGGACGCTGCTCCAGGTGAATCACAAGCTAGAGGTCCTAGCTTCGATTCTGGTCTTAGTGTGCAAAATGGATGAGATCTTGGAGAAAGTCGCTGCACGTACGACAAGTTTAAACCCAATTATTGGATTTACTGAGAGACTGAATGATCAATTAACCCTCTGGAGACAGGCATTGCAGATTTGCAACAGTTAAAACCTACCTACCTGGTTACTCCACATACGTATTTCATGAGCATTTTTTAACTCGGACGTACACCTGAAGGACTTAGTTGTTCATCCTTTTATCAAAACTTATTTTGAGCCTGAGAGGGTTAATGAACTGAAAGGCAGAGAGGAAATGATCTCTGTTTGGCCCAAAGCAATTCTTTCTAACTGAATTTGGTGCCCTGGCAGCCTTGAGCTGCGAGAAGAAATATCCTCCATAAGGAACGCAGACAGATGCTGTCAAAACCCGCCCTATCCCCTGCCTTTGGATTGGTGGTCTTGCCTGGCGAGGTCACCAACTGATGAAGTAAATGTGCTCTTCACACCCTCACGCCGGGGACACACTGGTCAACGAAGCGTCGGGAGGCGAAGCGCTCACGAAATTCGGCCGCTGCTCCTTAGTTCAGACCAGACGCTTGTTTCTCCGCTCCGGTCGAGGCGCGCCTCGTAGCTTTTCTTTTAAACACTTGGTGTCCTCCATTTCCTCTCTGCCTTTTCTCTGCTCTTTTCCTCTACACCCCCTCCCCCTTGCTGTTTGTGTGTGTGTTTGTATGTGTGTGTGTTTGTACGTGTGTGTGTTTGTACGTGTGTGTGAACCTATGGTGTGAACCAGGTGTTAATGGCTGGCCTACGATTTTCTGCCTCTCTGTCCTGTTTGCTCCTGTTGAAAGACACCCAAAACCACACCCCCTTCATGTGGTCAAACACACACACAAGTTCGCTGTGTGTGTGTGTTTGTGTGTGTGTGTGTGTGTGGTTTTTATGCAGTGTCTGTTTACGAACACATTTGACTATCGCAGAATTGTATTTTGAAATGCTTTATTTTGTTAAATTTACCAGCCTGCCTCTTATGTCTAGGTTTGACTTCCTGCCAGAAATGACGCGGTTCACCCCCGGCTCGCGAAAAAAATAGAGCGGACGCCGAAACGATCGCTGCATGGCGCGGGCTGGAGCGTCGGCGCGCAGCTCTTCGGCGGCCCATGTGGTCTATAGAATAGGATAACAAGGGCGCTGAATGAAGGCGGCCCCAATTTCACGGCGCTTCGGCGGCCGGTGTGTCCCCGGCGTCAGTCTCCCTCCCACCTACGTGCAACAGCGATCGAGCACATGCACTAAGGCTGTGGCTCTCTCTTGGGAAACAGGTCGGAGTGAGAACGTGTTGGTTGGGGGCCCAGGCGAGGGGGAGGTTCCAACTAGCAAGACAGTTAGGGTTAGCATGGGGGTGAGGGAAGGTTAGAAATAGCAAGAGGGTTAAAGTTCAGATGCGGTGAAATGCGTGTGTTCAGTACGGCGCCGGCGGACATCCCATCATGTCACTCTGACGCCACATTGGAATTTGTAGTCAGAAAAATCCCCTTGCGATGAAAAAGGGCACATTTGGCTTCGGTGTCTGACGCAGAGGGTTACCGAACGTGCGTTCATTTCCGACGCGTTGGGAGTGAGAATGTGTTGTGAAATCAACATTTTACTGTTTAACCCTCTCAGGCTCAAAATAAGTTTTGATAAAAGGACGAACAACTAAGCCCTTCAGGGGTACGTCTGAGTTTAAAAAATGCTCATGAAATACGTATGTGGAGTAACCAGGTAGGTAGGTTTTAACTGTTGCAAATCTGCAACGCCTGCCTCCAGAGGGTTAAACTACTTAATTGTACAACAATTCACCATGCTAACTAATATAGTGTGGTGTTTTAATTATGAGGTGGTTTTTAGCTCCTTCGGTTAATTCTCGACTTCAAAATCATGTATTTGTGTGTGAGTACCTGCTTTAAATGTTCTCGTTTCAGGTATTTTTCGCTGTAGTATTGCTCCTGGCGGAGAGCGAGGAGCTGCTGCTGCTGCTGCTCCTTCAACTCCGACAGTTTCTGGCTGCACTCCTGTTCCAGATCACAAAGGTCTTGGTCCAGAGTCGACAGGGATTGGTCAGACCGACTGGCGTCAAACACACGTGCGCGCGCACACACACACACACACACACACGCAAATAAGCATTTTTACTAAAATGTTAGTCGGGAAAAGCATCCTACAGCAAACCTGATGCGCACATTTATGTAAAATATACCTGTAATTACATTTTTGTCTATCTAAATACTCTTAAATCGTTGTCGTCTTCCTCCCCTTATCTGGGCCCGGGTCGCGGGGGCAGCATTCCCAACTACGAAGCTCCAGACCGTCCTCTCCCCAGCCACCTCCACCAGCTCCTCCGGCAGGACCCCAAGGCGTTCCAGGACCAGACTGGAGATGTAACCTCTCCAACGTGTCCTGGGTCGACCCGGGGGCCTCCTGCTAGCAGGACATGCCCGAAACACCTCCCCAGGGAGGCGTCCAGGAGGCATCCTGACCAGATGCCCAAACCACCTCAACTGATTCCTTTCAGTCCGGAGGAGCAGCGGCTCTACTCCGAGTCCCTCCCGAATGTCCGAGCTCCTCACCCTATCTCTAAGGCTGAGCCCGGCCACCCTACGGAGGAAACTCATTTTGGCCGCTTGTATCCGTGATCTCGTTCTTTCGGTCATTACCCAAAGCTCATGACCATAGGTGAGGATTGGGACGTAGATCGACCGGTAAATCGAGAGCTTGGCTTTCTCGATCAGCTCCCTCTTCACCACGACAGATCGGCTCAACAAGTATTCGGTCGTTGAGCCGTTGAGCCGAATACTCTTAAATCGAAATGTAAATTCAAAATAAGTTTCTTAACTTGACCCTACATCTACAAGAAAAATCACAATCTAGATTTGAGTCGATTTCCTGTTAAAACTGAATTGGGGGTCTGAGGAGTGCAGTAGAATTACCCACCTTTTCTTACCATCACGTTTGTGACTCTTCTGCAGGGCCGAGCGGCGCCGCTGATGCTGGCTCTGCAGCTCGGACACACGGGCCGTTTGCTCCTTGATCAGCTCACTGGTTTTGCGGTGGTGTTTTCTGACTAGCTCCTTCATCTCCTTGTACTGCTTTCTCTGCTCTCGGACGAATCCCTTCTGTTGCTTTAACTCCTCCACTGTCTGAGCCTCCAGTTCTGGAGACAAAAGTACAGAAGAGCATGGAAAAGCCATAGACTGGATGCGATGACTTTCCTCCTTTGGCCTAATAAAAGTAAAATAATTAAGTGTTACATTAATGTTTGGTGTTTAATCCTACCTGTTAGAACACTCTGAATGATGTCTTCAGTCTTCACTGAAGGTTTTAATGAGCCTGTAGCGGAAATCCACATTTTATATCCTGACATTAACTTTGTTTGGATTTACATGAAGGAGAACATAACTATTTTCACAAAGTTTTTCTTCTCACATTTAGCAGAAGATAACAAAAAGGGGAATTTGAACATCTGGGTAACTCCTACATTTTCTCCCAGGAACGTAAATTTTACCTAGCGACTTGTTTGTTTCCCTCCTTAAGCAATCGAAAAGACGGACATTATCAGGACTTGGTCTGGTCCCAACACATTCTCACACCCAAGGCGTCAAAATATGATGCGTGTGACCAAGCCTCAATACAGTATGTGACAATTCGGGACGCCCCAGCGCGTCAGGAGACGACGATCAGGGACACGCTGGATCTCCGCTGGCATCACTATTTGACGTGCGCGGCCTCACGGACATTATTCGACTATTTAACCTTCCTCTCACCCCAATCCTAACCTTAAGGTCCATAAACTGTGACCTTAAGGTTAGGATTGTGGTGAGGGGAAGGTTAAGTAGTTAAAAAGTAGTTCTAATGTCCGTCTCAACACCGGCGTCAGATACCGACGCTCTGGGATGCTGCGTCAGCTGTTTGTCTCTGATCGTCGTCTCCTGATGCGCTGGGGCGTCCCGAATCGTCACATATTGCGGCTTGGTCACACGCGTCATATTTTGATGCCTTGTGTGTGAGAATGTGTTGCAACACTAGTCCATGCAAACCTGCCAAGACCTGACCCCCCCAGGGTTTGAATGCTCATAAAACCTTCTCAGGGCATGCTCTGGAAGACTCCAGAATTTAGTCTTTATCAAGACCCTGATGCACAATCAAAAGGTGTTTAGATTTGTCCACCATTAGATATCAAGGTGCTTTAAGTTTAAAAATCTTATCAGTTACAAACTTAACTGCTTGTTTTGTGTTTTTTCTTTTATGTTAAACCTCTGCCAATTTTTGCTTCTCCAGTTAAAATTCATGCTAATGGTAAACCAGTTCAGTTTTAAGACATGAATTTTATTCTTTCCCGTTTAAAGGGACTATAAGGAAGTTTGACAGCCAAAACATGTATAGAAATAATAAGTGTCTTCTTCATACATTCTCCTGCAATGCCCTGGTCCTGTAGAATGAGCCCTGGTATTTTTACTGTGATTGTCTGTTTTTCTGTAAAATCACAGAAAAAGAGAGATGCTCGGGTAGAGCAGGCTGCTTCATGCGCGGTTCGGAGTGAAAATGGCTATTTTGTTGCTAATTTGCAGGAAATATCTAGAAGAAAGTTCTACAGAAAGTAGCTAAGGTTCCTCAGAAATGTAGCTAGGTTCATCACTAGGCGTTAGGAACAGTGACAAAGTTGCTGAGTTGGCACTGCCTCTCTCTCTGCTGCTAAAGCTATGGATAGCAAATGCTATGGGCTATGCCTGAGCGTGTACATGCATGAAGCAGCCTGCTCGACCCGAGCAGCTCTCTTTTTCTGTGATTTTACAGAAAAACAGGCAATCACAGTAAAAATGCCAGGGCTAATTCTACAGGACCAGGGCACTGCAGGATAATGTATGAAGAAGAAATTTATTATTTCTATACATGTTTTGGAGGTCAAACTTCCATAATGCCCCTTTAAAGTAACAATGTGTAGTTTCCTTGGCGATAGGGGCAGTAGATACCTTAATCACTGCAAGCAAGCAGTATTTTAGTGTTTGAGTAAGACCTTACCAACAGATGCCCATTAGGGTAAAAAATCCCTGGGCGCTTAACCTCCAGAAAAATGACAAGCACATCAAACTCCCTTTCATCACTGGCAGTGAGTGAAGAGGTAAATGTGTAAAACAACAACGTTTATGAATGGAGAGTTTTGTAACCGTTTGTTACAAATCAGTAAATGTATTTTGTCCTCACGGGCTCCCGTAGAAGGAAACATGGTGTCATATTATGGTTATCTTTTACAAAGCTGCCAATATTTTCCAATAACTGGGCATCGTTTAATTCATTTTAAACAACATTTCGACGGATATTTCCAGAGATTAACAGTAAAAAATACACATTGTTACTTTAAAGCATTTTATCAGTTTAAAATCTAAGGTTTGTGACTTTGTGACAGAGTACCTGCAGACTGAGGCTGTTGGCCCGCCAGGGAAGGAGGTTTTGGGGCAATGATCGGTGTGTGGCTCAGCCCGTTTTCTGCCGGTAATGTTATCCTCGAATCCACTTTCGATTCTGAGGGAGCATCACTTCCTGCCTCCACCTATTCACCAAAACAGTATTTTAAAATCAAGTAAAGTCCAATACAAAGAAGATCTGCACCAAACCAGCAGCTGGGAAACATGGTGCAGGACGCCACAGAAACACAAATCGGTATTTTACATAAGAAAGATACCAAATCAGTTCGGGTTAAAAACAACACCTGCTACGATTGAAAAGTTTTCCTTCTTCGTTCAAACTCACTTGCTGCACCAGCATCCTGCAGGACAGTGTGTACACGTAACTTTTGTAGCCCACTCTGAGCATGACTTCCTGTGGCAAGGCTCAGCAGATATTCATTTCCTGTTGGCTCACGTTCACTTCGCTCTTATCTCTCAAATGTTAATGTGAGTCATTCCGTCCAGATCTCAGTTTCTGTCTGTTCTCTCTCCCCACTAAGGCCCTGCCTTTCCACCTCCTCTGGCTCCAGTTGCCATGGACGCAGCCTGAAGCAAGTAATTCTCGTGGGTAATCATATCAGCGTGCAGAACTGATAAAAAGGACCCAGAGGGACAACTGCTTTCTCCACGATCTTTTCCTGATGAACTTAAGACAACCCTGCCCTGCTTTACCTCTGTCCCGAGTATTGTTCTTAAATATTCTCAAATCTTTCTTCATGTATGATCTTTTTTCTGTGCCGTTTTGCTTTAATCCTGCAACTGTCTACAGATCTACTTTCTTAGTAATTAAAAGTACTTTTTTTAAGGACTTTTACTGTGATCGTCAAGCGTTCTCCAAAGCTTTTGCCACCAAAGAGGTAAATTCTATCAAGCCACGTGTTTGAGTGCATAACTTTTTTTTTTTGTTGAGCCCCGACACAAGAAAATCGAACAGAAGAAGTACATTTTGGTAATAATGCTTGTGCATAGCATCCTTGAAAGAGACCATATCGTTCCAGTTTTAGCATCGCTTCATTGGGGTCCATTAAAACCCAAAATTCTGACCTATGAAGCTCTGAAAGATCACATATGTGGTAAAGGATATAAAAACACACCTCCTTGTCTCCTTCCTCCTCGCCTCCCTCCTCTAAGGTAAGAGCAGCCAGCTGATTGGCTCTCTGCTCCATCAGGTTGACGTAGCGGATGGGATTGGACAAGGCTTCAATGACGTCTAAGAAGCAGGAAAAATTATACTTTATTCCACAAAACAAATGAAGCAGATTCCTGATTTTAACATTGTCTATGATTTACCTGCAAACGTGTCGGGGACATAGTCTTTCACTTCCACGTAAACAAACAGGGCGGGTAGCATCAGAGACTGGTTCTTCTCATTTTTTAGACCAATATAGTGATAGCCTGCAGAAAGAAAAACAGGAGTACACATATAAAACAATAAAGCATAAAAATCAAAGCTATAAATCTATACAATAATGAGCTTTTTTGGTGTCAGATTTTGACTGATTCATGCAAATAAAATTTAAAGAATCTCTTCAGCATGCTAAATCGAATAATTGTAACCTGGACGGATGGCTGACACGGGAATGATGCGATGGCCAATGAACTTCCCTCCTTCCTCAAACACGGCTATCCTCAGAGAAGCCAGCGTGGGCAGAACAACCTGGAAGACGAATGTATGCACGCTTAATCACAAGTTGTTCTCAGATCTGTGTATTTTTAGAGTCAGGATAAAAACGTATATCGTTGGTGCATTCGGGCTAACAAGTTTTGGCTAACTCTGCAGTCATCGGCATTGCCCTGAGGAAGGCTACAACTTGTTAGATAAAAAAGCAAAAGCGTGTCATATGCTGTGTGCCAAAAAGAACCAAATGATGGAAAATGACATATGTCATCATGTATACGAATAAACATCCAGACTGTTGGCACAAATTTGTTCTATTAACTGTCATCGTAAACCAAGAGTTTAAATTCCTTATTTTCACCATTTAAATCTGAGTTGATGTTTCTAGGAAAGGGTACAGAATGGTGTTTCACTAAATGAAAGAGGTCCTTCACTCATTAAAATTTTTTTTGCAGTGGTCTATGGTAGGAATGAATGCCCTGGAAATCGTATTGGGGGGGGGGGGGGGGGTGCTCCGGTGCGCCCGTTCCAGCATGTAGAAGAAAGTAGCTTGAGACGGCCGGATTTAGAGTTGTATTTCCTGATATTTAGACATCTCACCTCAAATTGGCTAACAGCAACACAACTCTACGACTGACTCAGTTTACTTTGCAACGTTAACGTTTTGTCTCCTCAACTAACACAAGCCTGGAGGAGCTCTGCTGTGTGGTGGAGTTTCTAATGCTAACAATTAGCTTCTACCAGTCTAGACCTTCTCTGCTGTTCCCTCAACACCAAACCAGCAGCAGCCTTCCTTGTTGCAAGTCAAGGTGGGTGAGTCCATTAATGTTAAGTGACAGCGTGACATAGATCCAGGATTCAAATTACAGGGGCGCTAAGGGGAGCCCGACTCACCAGGTGACGGGCCCCCCTGGAAACCCTCAACTTACACATCCAGGGGGAGCTAAAAAAAGATCCTGATTCTACTTAAATTGCATTATTTATGTGGAGTCTCCGGGGATTCTTTTGAGCAGAAAGGACACAGCGCGCTGATCGTTGATGTGCTCCACGCAGCTGTGTCCTGCGCACGTCCACAGTTACATTGTCAAAGTGCCGCCACCCCAAAAAATACATATTTAACACACAATCGTTTAGTTCAGCTCATATCTTCTAGTGCTTTCTGTCTTTTGTTTGTGCCTGCGGAGCAGTGCGCATCACCTGTCTTTTACTCTGGTGACCACACCTCACCGGCGCAGTCGGTGTGCACTCTGCTATTTTTGAGGTTGGTAAATCCCTTTGAACTGCTTAGTTCAAAAGTAACTCATGAGGTGAAAATATAGGAAGCCAGGGACGCGTTATAGAGAAGATGCAGGAAGTTCTGAGTGAAACAGAACAGGAAAAAAGCCAGATAAAAACAAGAAAACAAAACAAAGTGTTTGAAAATGTAGATAGATTTATCCCACTGTATGTTTTGAACTTTCGAAAGCTATTATTTATAAGGATGTAATATTTATGTATTTGATAGAATTCAGATCACCTTCAAAACTCAATCCCACACCCATAAGGCATTTTTGGGGGACAAGGCAAGAATAAAGCCTCTGTGTAATTTGCTTCACCATCAATTTTCTATCAGAGTCTAATGCAGGAGATACGTGTAGGAGACTCAGTGGTGGCGTCAGGGGGCCGCTAGGGGGTGCAATAGCTACCCCTGGATTAGTCATTGCACCCCCAAGTAAATATTAGAATTTTTTTTTAACAATTTGATTTTAATTTAACGTGTGGATGTGAAAATATTTTACATACAAAACAAAAATAATCAGTAAATTATCACATAGATAGTAAAAACTTAAACCAAAACAGGAAATTGATGTTAACCTTTGACCTCATCTTCCACCTGTGAACGAGTGAAAGGTAGAGCTAGTGGTAAAATGGATCGGTTTTTGTTGCCCAAATTTCCACGGGTTCAGTCAGAAACGAATTAATCTTTGGAAGTGATCTCAGACCCACAAAAACCTACGGATCTGGATGAAGAGAGTCAACCCTCAACCGCTGCAGAAGTCCAGGGTTTTGCCACTGGAAATGCTAACACTAACATTAGCTACCCTTGCAACACTATAGATGGTTTTCTGTGTGGCTGTATGTGTTTATGATTTCATGGAAAAGTCAGCGATTGTTCATATGTTTATGATGTACATTAATGATTGTTTCAGGTGTTGTTGAGGTTTTGTACACGCATGTGTATCTGCTAGTGTTGAAGGTGTTTTAGAGAACAATAGGTACGCATGACCACTTCCTTCATAGCGCCCTCAGTAAAAAGACTCGCTCCTTCATAGCACCTGCAGAAAAAAAGTTCGGGAGCCACCACTGAGGAGACTATTTTCATGTTCAGCCTGCATGAAAAACTCAGAGTGACCTATTATTTTCTAAAATAATAAGTAAAAAAATGGTTTCTTAGTGAAGGACCTCTTTAAAACAAATGCTACTTTCTAGAGAATCATTATTTTATCTGATTTAAAATTTACGACTTAAAATTAAGCCTTTAAAATGTGGCTAACATTTGTCAGAAAATAAATTCGAATGGATCTTTAATGTCTTAAAAATACTAAATATTCATTTGTTGAACCAAAATGTAGACAAAAATTATGAAAATAAACTGTTTTAAAGAAAAAAAAATATTTTTAATGGAATGGCCATGCATAGTTTTAGTGTAAGGTAAAACATATATACTAATCCAGACAAATCCCCCCCAAAAATTCAATTACACCTTTTTCGAAGGTTTATTTATTTATGTATACTTTTTATGTTTCTGAGCATCACTGTGATTTATTTTAAACATGATCTCTGTAGAATCACTTATTTTAAAAAACAAAGATCCAAGTATGTTTTTATGACTAGAATATATGCATATTAATGGAAATGTCTTCATGTGTCCTTAAAGTTTTCACCTTCTTAAAAACAATGGCCTCCTCTTCCCAGACGGGGTTGATGGCGTTGCCTTGGGAGGTCTTGGTCTTGAATGCTTTCCTCTTGGTGTCCACTGGTAGACCAAACATGTCGATCTCTGCATACGTACCCACTTTCTTATCAGTCAAAAACTGACCAGAGATGATCTGTAGTAAAGAAAGAAAGTTAGACGGAAAAATATGAAAGAAATTAAATAAACCAACGAATAATCAAGATACAATCTTTATTTTTGTTCAGGGAAAATAAACTCCTGCAGCTCGATCAGACATGCACACCTTAACTGACAGTGTGTTGGCCACTATCCCATCCACTGTGCTCTCCGTAAAGGGGTCGAAGTGTTTATCTGGCCGTCTCATAAACTCTGGTTTCAGTCTATAGCCACATTTCCCGTTGTACTCATACATACCCAGGTTCAGCTGCATCGACAAATCTGGGAACGTGAAACGACAAACCCTTAAAATCCAACGTACGAATCAGCTTATAAACTTCAGCTGAACTTTTGGACTATTTAAAGATGTTTTCCTTCCTCACCGATAGTCTGAAAGTTGAGAGCTACCAGCTGACAGCCAGCGTTCCAGAAGAGCTGAGGGTTGTAGTTAGACGAGTCCACTCGAGTACCTTTAGGGTAGATTCTGCTCAGCTGTAGCTTGTTGTATCTGAACAGAGTTAAAGAACTAAAAATAACAGATTCTGCTCAACATTTGCTGACTTTAATTAGCAAAGAGCTGCATGTGTTACTAGTATTAAACAAAGTGAACTGCAGAAGCAAAGAAACACTGTAGTGTTCATCTTTACCATGAAGGGAGATATGAGGCTTTAAAAATGCTGACATTTTAATAGATTCTTTCGAAGAAAGCACTGATTTGGGAAGGATACTCCACAAACTCCACAGGAGACTTGGTGAGTTGCTCCAAAGCTTTGGTCTCTACGAAGGACGACATCTGGAAGCTGCGAGTGATCTCTGCATGCAAACATCGGAATGTTCATCAAGGGCATCGAACTAGCTGCAATTGTCAGCTTTCTTTCACCGGATGTTAAGATGCAGCCAGCCAAAATTCAAGTAAACATCACAAATAGAATTCATGCATGTCTCTTGTACGTCCATACTGTGTATTTTATCCAACTGCATTAAGGCTCCTTTTCAACACAGCAAAAGTGTTATCTGAATCTGACGCCCTGGTAGCCTTGAGCGGCAAGCAAATAAAACCCCCACGAAGAAATGCAGACTCTTTGTACTCTTTGCTTCTCCAAAGATCTCCCTCCCACCTGTGACTGTACAGTAGATGAGCGCCGTAGACGGCTGCTCTCGCTGGGGGAAACAGGATCCCTCCACCTGAACCAATCCCTCTGATCTCTATTAAGGTAGCGAATGACCACAGTCACCAATTCTTGTCATGTGTCTTGCCCATGTGTCTCTGATCTCTGAATTATGTGTATTGAAACTCTAATTTCCCTCTGGGATTAATAAAGTATTGATTGATTGATTGTGTTGATAAACGGAGAAGAAAATGACGCCACCAACATCGGCTCAATTTTGTAGAAGGCTACAGTGGTAGTCGAAACGTCAGTAAAAACAAGGTAAACCTAACGCTTTGATGTGTTGCAAAATGAACCGTAATGCAGTTCCTCATGCACGTGTATCCAAACGTACAGTTGTTACATACTTTTTGAAGTCTCAAAGGAGTAAAACTTGACAGGTTGGATGTAGATGACTAGGTTGGACATTTCCTCCGTGGCAAATGCCTCGCTGCCTGCTGTCCCCTGAGCAAAAACAGACACAAACACAATATAATAAAAACTAACAAAAACAAAGCACAAGAATAAATACATTTTTCATCAGTCTGCCCTCAATAGCTACACATAACTTGTTGTAACATCCTTCACAATGATGTTAGCCCACTTAAACATCTAACAACCTTTCATGGCCTGTTAAAATCTTTTTTCCTCCACCTTTCTCATATCTTTCATTCATCCATGATGCATCATCCAACCTGAGGAAACATGAGTAAATTGTGATTCCCTGAGGTAGACTCTGTTACCGCTGAGGGGTTGTGTTACTGAATGTGGTCAGCAACACAGGAGTACCACAGGGCACTGTATTTGCACCTGGTTCACTCTTTGCCAGTTGGCTGGCATTAAAAACGGACTAAATGGATAGTAAGCACTTATGCAAGAGGTTCCCTCTTCGAGGGCAAGCTCAGGCAGAGAAAATGTAGCCTTTAATCAGGGTGAACTTGTGATAGAGGTTATTTACATTGTCAATAGCTGACAACCTAAATGTGCAAAAGTGACGTCAACACATCTTTTGCTGGTTATCCCAGAGCCAAACTGATTGATTTAGATAGTGACATTAAAACTACCTTCTTTTGTCTGAATCACACCTTGAAGAATCAAATCAAATCAAACTTTGTCCATAAAGTGCTTTTCCAACACATTATCACACCCAAGGCATCAAAATATGACGCGTGTGACCAAGCCTCAATGTATGACAATTCGGGACGCCCCAGTGCATCAGGAGACGACGATCAGGGACACGCTGGGTCACATGGCTCCGCCGGCGTCACTGTTTAACGCACGCGGTCACACGGACATTATTCGACTATTTAACCTTCCCCTCACCCCAATCCTAACCTTAAGGTCCATAAACTGTGACCTTAAGGTTAGGATTGGGGTGAGGGGAAGGTTAAGTAGTTCACAAGTAGTTCTAATGTCCGTCCCACCACCGGCATTGGATACCGACGCTCTGGGACGCTGCGTCAGCTGTTTGTCCCTGATCGTCATCTCCTGACGTGATGGGGCGTCCCGAACCGAGGCTTGGTCACACGCATCATATTTTGACGCCTTGGGTGTGAGAATGTGTTTGCTTTTCATACAATAAATGGATTTCAAGGTGCCTTACAGATTAAAATGACCTCACATGACAACCATTCCCATCCCACTCCCACAAATTCATAGCAAAAAGAGATAATGGGCTGAGTTCAGATGATCTGGGTAATGAAGGGAAACACCATCAGGGGAGCAATCTGTCCCACGAGCAGCAGGCCTACAGCAGTAGCCAAGGCATTGACACAAAAAGGGATCTTTCTTACATTTGTTCTGTGTAATTGTTCAAATCCCTTTGGTTAATTCTTTTCTAAACTCAGTGTAGTAGAATATTTGCATTTTTAGCTCACAAGTTTTGACTATCGCTGTAGCCTTTCTCAGAGCACTGCCGATGTTGGTGGCATTTCTTTCTTCTCCGTTTATCTGCGGGCAACAGCGGACTGCCTGTGCCCTACTCGCCGATGACAGGTCTTATGAGTGATCCAATGTGTATACTCCATCGTGTCTGTTCATGGTCCTGGTTCCGTCTCCTTATTTCTATCGATTCTTTGATCTATCTTTTGTATTTTTGTTCTCTGTTCTGTCCCAGTCCATTATATGATTTCCCCTTGTGCAGTGGTCTGTTACGGCTGATTTCTTTAATGTACTTTCTGATGGCGACATCGTCCTCTGCTGCTCGCAGATAAACGGAGAAGGAAGTGACCCCACAAACCTCAGGTATTCTAAGGAAGGCTGCGTTAGCCAAAACTTGTCAGCTAAAAAGGTAAAAACAAATCTTCGACTATGCTGTGTTTAGAAAAGGACTAAGCAACGGAACAAGAAGGCATCTCCTGAGTCATCGTCAAGAGAATATCTCAGATGACTCTGCAGTCGTGCAGAAGGCTGAGCAACGGCATGTGGTGAACTACCTAAACTGCTATTTCTACATGTGTGGCAATAAGTTCCCATGTAGCTTAAAACGTAAGCTATGTAAGCTTCCTAACATAGCTTAAAACAGCCAGAGCTCACATTTCAGGAAAACCAAACACATACATTTACACAAGCAGTCAACACAGTAGTACTGATTAATTGTGTTTAAAATGTATTATTATTAATTATGAAACCAAAATAACTCTTAGCACATGTATCATACACCACCACTGTGTTTTGCTTTCCTTCTGCTGCCTGACTTTTTAAAACAACCTGATAGGACACATACGAGTTAACTTCTAAAGAAAAGTAAGAAGTCCTTGTTATGTTGTTTCTGTGTTTCTTTCCAATTTCCATTGGTTTCCCCTACGCTATGTATTAAACAACAACGGATAAGGTAAGAGGTGCCTGTAATTTGAAAGACGTTTCAAAATAAGATCATTCTTGTAAATGTAGCATCACACTTTACAGCGTAACAACTTCATATTTAATCATGACCAATAAGATGAGAAGAAATTGACCTTCTCTAGACGTTAGATAAAGCAAAATGTTATAAAATTATTTTATTATCGATCACCTTTTATTCTATTTATTTTTTGTGAATGTTTAGGACCAAACTTTAAATTGATAGACAATATTAACAAAATTAATAATAATAATAATAAATAATAATGCATAATAATGATGCTTAACAAATAGAGCGAAGGAGACAGTAAAATAAATTAACAGGCACTAAATGCTTGATTAAACAGGTAAGTTTTCAGGAGTTTGCAAAGAATCTCCTAATTTCAAAAGTTCATGCCTTTGTTTGACAAAAGCTAATTAAACAACCAACGCTTAGGTACTTCAATGTCTGCTGCAGATCTTCTACAAGTCTGTTAATAAGAGTGTAATCTCTTCAGCCATCGTCTGTTGGGGTAGCAGCATCAGAAGCAGGGACCTGAAAAGGCTCAACAGCCTAATAAAACAGGCTGGTTCTGTTCTGGGGACGACTGTGGAACCACTGGAGGAGATAATGCAAAGAGGGATTCTCCAGAGAATCAAGAAAATGATGGACAACCCTGAGCATTCTCTTCACAAGACTGTCCGACAACAGAAGAGTGTCTTCAGTCAGAGGCTTCTTCAGTTTGGCTGCAACACTGACCGCTACTGGAGATCCTTCCTGCCAACAGCCATTGTAATATACAACAACTCTTTGATGACTTGATTATTATTATTATTATTCTGAGCTACTACAGCAATCAATTTCCCTCTGGGATTAATAAAGTATTTTTGGATTGAATTGAATTGAACATTATTGGCAACATTTCACCACTATTGACTAAACACATACCTCATCCATTGAGCCCTTTTTACAATCATCTTCATCATCATCCTCATCTTCACTCTCAGCCTCCACCTCACCTGAAACATGAAACACGAGTTAAGCCTAAAAGCCATTTAAGTATGATCCGTTTTCTTCACGTGTCATAAAACATAGACAGAGGTACGAACTCAAAGAACTCACACCATTTTACTGAGTTAGGGATTACACTGACAGGAAATTCATTTGTGGAAAAACCATCACACTGCCTTTTTGCTGCATCCTGATGAGGACTAAACAGGAGGTTTCAGTCTGTGGTCATGACTCACCAATTGACTTCCTGCCATGTGGTCTCAGGGTGAGCTCAGTAGTTTCAGGGGGCTGTGAAGAATCTGCAGCCTCTTCTTTTGTTGAACCTGGAAATTTAGAAGAGTCCAAAACGTATAAATGATCCATGTACTAAAAAGAAGTTTTCCTTTCGCTGCAGTAAGATTCTCTTTTTCTTTTAAAAGAACCAAGACTGTTTTATGTCGCCAAGGTGTGGTGCTTGCTACCCATCACCAGGGGGCAGTGTGTGTTTAGAAAATAGCTTGAATGTGAGGAGGCAGTGATTCAAAACTATATTGTAAAAATGTAAATGCTGATAATCTAATGCTAATGTAAAACATCAGAGGTGGTGCTGTCGGCTGTGGTCCGTGCTGTTTGCACCTGCGCTCGGGGAGGAGGGCTCACATACGCTGGACGAATCGCTGCAGGTGTTAGAAACCTGCTCAGAGAGTTTCTTCTTCGTGCTTCCTTCGGTTTTGTGGTGCTTCTTTTTGTTCTTCACCAAGATTTTTCCCATGAGGTCCGTCGGGCTGGGAAGAGGCACGCCAGACTCCAGCTGCACGTGTGGAAAAGGAGAAGGGAGGCACGCATAAATGAGATAAACATTGGCAGAAATGCTTTTCGTGTACATTTCATGATATTGAGCATTATGGAAAAGCAGAAAAATGTACAATTTCTTCACCCAGGTTGGCATCTAGAAGGGAAACTGGGCACTTAATACAAACCGGTTATGTCACAAGAGAACAAACTCAAAGAACGAAGATTTCTTATTTATTTATAGGATTCGCTGCTCTTGGATCTTTGTGTTTAGGATGATTACTAATTAAATATTAAGAAAGTTTGCTGTGATGTTGAATACACACACAGCTACAGAGCATCAGCTCCTTCCCAGTGATTTACACACCGGCTGGAGCCTTGGGTTTTCCAACTAAAAGCGTATTTTCCAGGCACCTCCGTGTTATTGCTGTTAGGAAGTTGCGCAAAGACGATCAGGCATCCTTGTTTGCATTGGCTTGAAAACGTTCCACTAAACTGGAACACTATCAGTGTCATAAAATCCCTGGAAAAAATGCGAGTAAGTTGATTGGTTTGTTTTGTTTCTATCAATCTGTCAGTTCATCTGGTTTCTGTCTGTTCAAAAAGTGCTATTTAACAACATTTTAAAAACTGAAGCTCAGATTGATCCACCTGATTTCGATCTAATCTGCTCCACCTCAGCTCCATATTCACAAAGCAAAGAGATCGATCTAAATTCGACCAATGGTGAAAAAAGCAACATGCACAAAGGTGGCATACAGAGAGAAACCTTTCTCATAGAACGCTACAGACCTGAATAAATAAACATGGTAAAGAAGCTACATTTCATGTCATCAGAGAGGAAACAAAAGGTAACACGTTGTGCTTTGTCGACCAGAACAGCATCTTCTATATTCACTGAATAAAATAATAAAACCCTTTTTCGTGGCACTGCTGCTGCACTGCAAGAAGGTCAAAGGTTCAAAACCACAACAGCAGCCTTTCAGCCTGGAGTTTGCGTTTTCTCCGTGTGCAGGTGAGGCTTTTGTTTTCAGGGACCCCTCACACAAACCAAAATCATGTTAAAGAGACAATGTGTAGTTTTAACAATTAATCTCTGGAAATATCCATCAAGTTGTTGTTGAAAATTAATGAAATAATGCCCAGTTGTTGAAAAATATTGGCGGCTTCATAACATACAACCATAAAAATCAGGTCTAAAAGACATAGGGGTGGGACCAAGGCTCAATCTCAATACTTGCACTTCCACCCTTGCACACTTCAATTGCGCGATCCCGACCAGGGGTGCGAGTGCATAAAGTGTCACGGTTCTTAAGTGCGGAAGTTGATCACGCCCCTTTTGCACCCTTGATCCTCACTTCACCCAAGTCTGCATCGCTGTGAAGAACATTACCCACAATTCATTGCTGTGGGAGAAAAGGCTCAAGTTACTTTTCTGAAAATATGTATTTTCTAATGAAATGAGTTAATTTTAGGAAGATTACCGTATTTTCCGGACTATAAGCCGCTACTTTTTTCCCACGCTTTGAACCATGCGGCTTATAATGAGGTGCGGCTTTACTGAAGATTTTCCTTCACCTGCCACTAGGGGGCGCTTTAGCAGAAAGTGAAACAGGTGGAAGTCAAAAGTGGAAATCGAAGAAAGTGCTTATTTTAATTTAGCACATGCAAGCAGCCGGCACGATGAAGAATTTTTTTCAAATCCATACCCCCTCATCATGGAAACTACGTGTATGAGTTCATATGATGCCGCATTTAAGTTGAAGGCCATCGATCTGGCAGTAAAGGAGGGAAACAGCGCTGCCGCACGTAAGCTTGGCATGAATGAATCCATGGTTCGGCGCTGGAGACGGCAGCGGGAAGAACTCATTCAAGCCAGCTTCACCCGGGGATGATGACAGCAACACGGACATCGCCACAGAAGAGGTATGTGACGAAGCTCTTCTGAGGCTGTTCAACTCCGACACTGAAGAAGAGGACTTTAATGGCTTTAGTGCGCAAGAGGAAGATGAGAGTGAATGAATTCTTCTGGTAGGCAAGTGTGTTTTATTTACTAACCAGGCATGTTTTGTGTGCAGTTTTTATTTTCTAATCATCCAGGGCTTATTAGTGCTGTGTCAGTAAGAACTCCAAAAAATTTAGTTTCTTTTACTCTTTGAATTTCAATCCCATCTATTTCCAATGACACATCACTGTAAAATTTGTTTTATTAAGATTCAGTGTCAATCTATTTATATCAAACCAGTTTTAAATTTTAATCAGTTCATCATTTGTCACTTTAGCCACCTCCACAATATTTGATCCTGTGTAAAACAGTGTTGTATCATCTGCAAATAGAATGGTACCGAGTGTCTTAGATACATTTACCAAGTCATTAATAAACAAAACAAACAGTTTTGGTCCGAGGACCGACCCTTGTGGCACTCCACAATTAATATCACATAGTTTTGATTTATGGTCCTTTATCTGAACAAACTATTTCCTTTTTTCTAAATAAGTTTTAACCCATTGATGAGCCACACCTCTTATTCCATACTGACTTAATTTTCGAAGTAACCTTGAGTGATCAATGACGTCAGATGCTTTTTTCAAATCAATGCAAACTCTGTTTAACATCTGGGATGTCTCAAGGACATGCAGTAATATAATTTCTAAGAAATTAGGATGAAAACAAGTATGGCTAGATTAATAAATAAATGAAAACAAGAACAACACTATAAATTTTACACTAAAGTGGATAAATGTGGTGAACTGTTTTCAGCTTTTCTACAGATTTAATGTTAATGAACATTAAAAACTGAGCTGTCAAGATAACAGGATGAAAAACATATAATTCAACACTATAAGTTTAGGGTTGCAGTCATCTGGTCCAGCAAAAAGGACATAAACAAGTCATGTGACTGTTTCTTATTTTCCTTTTAAATTTCGAATCATTTAGAAAGCATTGATGCCCGTTTATATCCTTATTGCGTAAGAGCATGATGAAAACAAACAAATGCTTAGGAAGTGTGGGAGTAACGTTTACCATCATATAATTGAAAATCGTGCCTGCTCTCTGCGTGAGTAAATCTCTTTTTGCCAATTTGTGTTCGTCTGCATCTTAAATATAATCGTCAATCAACTGAAGATTAGAAGATCCACGGTGAAAATATGACCATTTCCAAAGAAATCATATATTTCAGATCTTACAATTTAAGAGCCTTCATCAGCAAATGCTAGTTATGACATCAAATATGTTCGTGACTTTTGAAACATTTCAGAATTTGTTGTTATTTTTGAAAAGTGTCAGGTTCGTTGGCAGATCTGAAGCGTGACTGAGAGTTCTGTTGCCCAGACGCGGAGAGACGGAGATAACCGGCGTGGTTATTTCCTGTAGGTGTAGCTTGAGGGTTTAGAGGGCTGGTAAGCCTGGAGACTCGATGCAAAGTCTGGTGAGAACGATGACTGAGCAATGAATGAAACGCCGGCACTTCCTTAAGTAGTGTCGGCGTGATGACGTCAGTCGCCACGTTAGTGGCAGGAATGAATGGAATGCAGTCAGCTGGAGGAGTTCGTGACAGGACCCCCCCCCCCCCCCCTCTAGGGACGGCACCCGAAGTACCAGGACGGCGGGCCCAGAAGTCTGTTAGCAGGGCAGGATCGACAAACGAGCTCGTGGGCTCCCAAGAGCGTTCCTCAGGCCCGTTCCCCTCCCAGTCCACGAGGTACTGCCAACCCCGTCCCCGGCAGCGGGCGTCCAGTATCCTGCGGACCGTGTAGGTGCGATCCGCCTCAACACCGCGGGACGGAGGCACCCGGACCGGTGGAGGGTGGAGAGGAGAGGAGATCACCGGCTTAAGCTGGGAGAGGTGAAAGACCGGGTGGATCCGGAGAGTAGCCGGGAGGCGTAGACGGCAGGTGACTGGATTGATGACCTTGAGGACAGGGAACGGACCCAGGAAGCGAGGAGTGAGCTTCCGGGAGCCAGCCGGCATCCTCAGGTTAGCGGAGGAGAGCCACACCTGGTCGCCAGACCGGAAGACAGGGCCAGGTCGGTGGCGGCGGCGATGCTGACGGGCATACTCCGTGTTGGCCCGGGTGATGGCCGCACGGGCCCGGATCCAGGCGAGCCGACAGCGGCGGACCAGCGTCTGGGCAGCAGGGACCTCCACCTCGGGCACCTGATGATCAAACAGAGGAGGCTGATAACCGTAACAGGTCTCAAAGGGAGACAGACTCGTGGCAGAGGAGGTCTGGAGGTTGTGTGACAGCTCCGCCCACAGGAGGAAGCGGGGCCAGGTGGTCGGCTGGGACGAAGCGAAGCAGCGCAGGTAGCGTCCAAGCTGCTGGTTAGCTCTCTCTGTCTGACCGTTTGTCTGCGGTTGGTATCCAGAGGACAGACTGGTGGAAGCACCGACCAGGCGACAGAACGCCTTCCAGAAGCGTGAGACGAACTGGGGTCCTCGGTCGGAAACCACGTCCTGAGGGAAACCATGGAGCCGCACCACCTGTTCCAGGAGCAGTTCGGCCGTTCTCTTGGCAGTGGGGAGGCCGGCCAGGGCCACTAAGTGCACGGCCTTGGAGAAACGGTCCGTGATAGTCATTATAGTGTCCAGGTGGTCGACCGCCGGCAGTCCCGTGACAAAGTCCAGCCCGATGTGTGACCACGGCCGTTTGGGCACAGGGAGAGGCTGCAACTCTCCAGCGCCGGGTCGGTTGGAGGACTTGGAGCGAGCACACACATCACATGCAGCTGTAAACTCGCGGACGTCCTTCCTCATGGACGGCCACCAGAGAGCCCGACGGAGGAACTGGAGGGTACGGGCTTGTCCTTGATGTCCCGCGAGCCGCGAACAATGCCCCCATGTGAGCGCCTCTTGCCGGCAGGAGGCGGGAACGTAGAGACGGTTCGGTGGGGTCTCCGGCGGCGCTGGATCGCCAGGAAGTGCCGCCTGTATGGACTGCTCCAACGGCCATTGGAGGGAGGCCAGGAAGCGTTGAGTCGGCAGAATGGTCCGAGGCTCCGGGGGGGCGGCATCT